CTTTAACATAATAATGAATCTGAGAATGGTGAAAAATATAATTTCAATCTAACAGTAGTTGTGCTAAAAAAGGAATATCCCCTTGTGGGGATTGCCATTTGCTGTGAACTTAACCAGCAATTGCTTTTTTTAAATAAGCAGTGAAAACTTCACCCCTGCCTGTTTATCATCCTAAAAGCTAGGAGGGATTGAAATTGTCTTCATGTCCAAACCAGCTGCTGTTTCAATGGCATTTTATTTCTTTTATTATAATTAAAAAATAATTATATCTTCTTCCTAAGTGTTGTAACACTGAATTGTAACCAAAAGTGTTTTCAGTGGGAGCAAATGAAGCGAATGAGTGCAATGCTCCCTTCCTCATTTTGTCTTCACTCCAATAGGACCATCACAATCTGAATGGTGCTCAGAAGGGATATCAACGAATGGAGCACAGCTGTACTACTGTGTTCTTTTGTGCATCTATCTGGGCTCTCCTCAGTCAAAGAACAAAATTGACTTTCATAGTGTGGAAATCTTTATAAAAAAACCTTCCCCCCTCCTTTTGAGGCAACTATTGTTATTGATTCATGAATATACAATAGCTGAGCAATGCAGCTGCATTGATTGACTGAATTGATGAAGTGCACCAAGCTAAAATGCCGCATGCAAGTATTGAAGAGCTCAATTAACCAAATGAGACTGCTGAATTTTGTGACTAATTCAATTACAATGAATTTAATCCCTTGAGCAATTTGCATTATTGGTTAGAGTTTACCATTTTAACTCAAAAGCCTGGAATGTATCATTCAAGGGGATGTCACTTCTCACATAATCAAGCAGAGGAAGTCCTCAGCTTACAACCTTAATTGTGACTAGACTTTCTGTTGTTAAATAAGAGAGTTACATCTGATTTTTATGATCTTTGTTGCCATGGTTGTTAAGCAATCACTCCAGTTGTTAAGTGAATCATGCAGTTGTTAAGCAAATCTGGCTTTTTCCTGACTCGCTGCTCAGACAATCCTACAGAATGGGATCTAGCAATGTGATTGGATGTACTGAGTGCCTATCATTTTTCCTCTGCAGTCCTAGTCCCGGCCTCTGGTTGCTCCTGTCAGTCTTTTTCACTCAGTGGATTGGACCAGACCTGAGTGCCTTATTCTCTTATTCATAATTAGCAATTGCTAGTTTTCTCTTTATTTAGTTATTTTTTCTTCAAATATTTTGTTTGCTGTTTGCTTTTTATTAGAAACCGCATTTCTGGTTTGCCTTTTGCCTCCGAAATGCCGCCTTTTTTTCGCCCAGCTATCAGCTGAGGGGCGCGTTTCCGAATTTTTGCTTATTTTTTCCAAATTTATTTTTCTAAATTGCTTCTGTGGAGAGCTGTGCTTCGAGGGACATCTTGACAAGCAGCGGCTTCGGAGTTTGACTTCAGTGAATCGCCGAGCCGCTTGATCGCCTCTTTGACAGCTGAGAAGCACTTTCAAGTAGCCAAGCTGAGAGGCACTTTTTTTCCTGCTGATTGCTTGTGCTGCGGGTGGTGGAGTTGGGGTCCTTTAGCCAAGACAAGTACCACACCGTCGCAGCTTCTCCCTATTAATTCGCGGCTCCAGGGTCCCTGCCCGCCAGTGGCATACCTTGATATGTAGTTTCCATTGGCGATGGTTGGAACTCCCGCCATTTTGCTTCGCCCGCCATTCTAATGGCTGAGGCAGCAATATTACGCTGGTGATTTTATGGCTGTCAGTTCCTGCTGACAGCTTGTTTATTGATGAGAGCATTACCATCCATGGTTTTCGCTTTCATGCTTACTGAATTTAATTGTTTATTATGGTGTTTTTTAATATGAAGATTTTTCTTCAGATTCACAGGGAGGTGCAGAGTGAAATTGTTCTCTTGGATTCCTGCAGTTCCCTGATTCTCCAGCGGGCAGGCTTTACCTTCTCAAGGGAAGTGAATTGTTAATAGATCATATTTACTGTTATATCTTATTTACAAAGAAAATAATTAATTTACAAAAAAATATATTAAATATTAATTAATAATAATAATAATATTAAAATATATTAATTAATTCAGCAATTGATTGAAATCACCATTAACTTTAACTTATCATTAGTTATGGCTGATTCTGCTCTTTCTTCAGATATGGAGATGGAAGTTTCCTCCATAAGGGCCCCTTCTCCCAAACCTGTTGGGAAAAGAAAACAAAAATCAAATAAAGGTTCCAAAGCAGGCTCCAAATCCACGAGCCTCCAATGTGAATTAATGGATAAGGATGCCATGAGGTGCCATAATGCCTTGGAAAAGCAATTCAATAAGGCAAGGGCCACTATTCAACCTGAGGGCCCGTCTGTTCCACTTACAGAGGACAATGTAGTTATTTCCACTGTTCCTCTTGTTTCTCAAACCCAAGAGCCTAATTTGATCAATTGGTCACAGGCAGTGGTGGGATTCTGGAGGTTCTAGGGGGTTTGGCCGAACCCTTTGTTAAATTGCTGGCTCACCCCGCCCCTTGCCCCGCCCCTCTGCACTACTATTTATTGCCAATAAATGGGGCGAGCGAGCCAGCAATTTAACAAACGGTTCAGTGTTTTTTTGTAATTTATTGGCCCCGCAGCACACCGAACCGTTTGTTAAATTGCTGGCTCGCCCCGCCCCTTGCCCCGCCCCTCACCCCGCCCCGCCTCCCAGCCGCGCGGCGCCAGCCTACCATAGCCAGGGGTAGCCAATTGTGGCTCTTTTACAACCTGTGGACTTCAACTTCCAGAATTCCTGAGACACCTTGGCTGTCTCAGGAATTCTGGGAGTTGAAGGCCACAGGTTGTAAAAGAGCCACAATTGCCCACCCCTTCCCTAGCCTGAGTTCCACTGCCTGGGATCCACGTGGGCTGCCACGTGGTTCCCCACCGGCTCCGGATGCAAGAGAGCAGGATGGAGAAAGCAGCTTCCACGCCTTCACTCACCCTCACTCTCTGCTCTGTTGGATCGCCGGCCGTTCGCTTACCCCGCCCACTCCTAATCTATTGCTGCCTCCAGAATCCCAGCTGATGGCTAGAGGAAAAAAAACTGTTCAAATTCTTGCCGTGGGGCTTCAAAGGGCCGCCCTATAGCCAGTGGTGGGATTCTGCCGGTTCTAGGAGCTGAACCGTTTGTTAAATTGCTGGCTTGCCCCGCCCCTCCGCACCACTATTTATTGCCAATAAATAGTGGTGGGCGAGGGACGGGCGAGCCAGCAATTTAACAAATGGTGTTTTTTTGTAATTTTATTGGCCCACGGAGCTTCAGCATAGGCTAATTAGCCCTTGCTTAGATCGGCTCCCGAGTCTCAGCTGATTTGTCTCAGCTGTTTTGCTCAGGGCTCTGCTGCTTGCTGGAGCAATTTTTTTTCCTCCTAGCTATCCTAAAAAACAAAACTGAAACTGCTTTGCTGTTGCTGCAAGGTTGGATAATTAGGCAGGCAGATTTCTTTTCTTTTTCCTCACCAAAAAAGGTAGGTGCAAACAATGGGAAATTTAGGGAAAAAGAGGAGAGTTCAAGATTTTAAAACACAAAAGAAAAAAAAGCTCTATTTAACTAGGGAATTGTAATAATTGAGATACTATTAATTGTATATTTCTGAAAGCAGAAATGGTTAAGTTGTGGTTTGGAGGAATATATGAGGGAAATTATTTAGTTTATTATTATTGGTAAATATAATTAATTGATTTGTAAGAAATTGGATTGCATGGAAATAATTGGAATATTCATGTTCATATTGATTAATATACAAAAAAGGTAGTTATATAACTAATTGATTTATATTAAAATGTTGAATTTATATTAAACAACTGTAATATTACATAATTAACCAATGTGAGGATGGATATAAAATATATGACAATGGGAAGGGGTATAATATAGAATAGAAGGGAAAAATTGAATTTGATTAAGATTGGAGATGAGGATGAAGGGTAATATTGGTTTTTTACAAAAATAGATGAGGAATAAATATGGCAAAAAGGAAATATACAAATTGTAAATTTAATTGAAATGACTAAACACTGTTTAAATTTGTGAACCAGCCAAATATTCTGTTCAAAGAAAATACATTGTTTGTATGTGTGTTTCTAATTATTGTTATTTATTCATATTTGTTCTCTTTTATTCTTTAAAGTTTAACAATTCATTCTTTTATCTTAATATCTTTATATTTGTTTGGGGTTGGCTTTCTTCCCTTTCATCTTTTTTATTGTACAGCAATCTTTCTCCTCAAACCTACCACCTCTCTCTTTTCTTTCCTTCTTACTTTCTCTTCCTCCCACTCTTCTTCTCCTCCCTACTTCCTCTTCCTTTCTCCTTCTCCTCTCTTCTTCCCTCTCTTATCCTCCCTCCTACTCTAATTTCCCTTCCCTTCCTTCATCCCTCTCTATTGCTGTATCCTTTTATGCATATGGACTACTCAGAGGGCTGAAAAAGTTATTTCTGACTGGTCCTCGTAAGTCCTCGAACTTACGACTGTCCTCACATTTTACGTTTTTGCCCTATCTTGTCACCATGGTGAAGAGAAGCAGTTGTGAAATAAGTGACATGGTTGTTAAGAATGCTACAGTGGGCATAAATGATGACCAGTCATAAGTGTGAGGACCAGTCAAAAGTGCGAGGACCTGTCAGAAATCACTTTTTTCAGCCCTCTGGGTAGTCCTTTTGTGCATATGTACTACTCAGAGGGCTGAAAAAGTTATTTTTGACTGGTCCTCGCACTTTTGACCGGTCCTCGAATTTGCGACTGTCCTCACATTTTACGTTTTTGCCCTATCTTGTCACCATGGTGAAGAGAAGCAGTTGTGAAATGAGTGACATGGTTGTTAAGAAAGCTACATGGGCATAAATGATGACCAGTCGTAAGTGCGAAGACCGGTCAAAAGTGCGAGGACCTGTCAGAAATCACTTTTTTCAGCCCTCTGGGTAGTCCTTTTGTGCATATGGACTACTCAGAGGGCTGAAAAAGTTATTTTTGACTGGTCCTCGCACTTTTGACCAGTCCTCGAACTTACGACTGTCCTCACATTTTACGTTTTTGCCCTATCTTGTCACCATGGTGAAGAGAAGCAGTTGTGAAATGAGTGACATGGTTGTTAAGAAAGCTGCACGGGCATAAATGTGAGGATGGTCATAAGTGTGAGGACCGGTCAAAAGTGCGAGGCCCAGTCAGAAATGACTTTTTTTCAGCCCTCTGAGTAGTCCCTATGCACATAGCCACGCCCACCCGGTCACATGACCAGCTAGCCACACCTACACAGTCACATGACCAGCTAGCCATGCCTACACAGTCACGTGACCAGCTAGCCATGCCCACCCAGTCACATGATTGCCAAGCCACACCCCCAACTAAGCCACGCCCACAGAACCTGTTGTTAAAAAAATTGAATCCCACCACTGGTCACAGGGTGATATTATTCTTGTACCGCAAGGTCAAGATTTATCTTCTATTCAAGGCGAACATGTGTTGCAGGGTTCTCTGCCCATACCGTCCTCTGTACCTATTCAGGCCCCTCAGGCTACTCAGCCTTCGATGGTTGCCGGATTGGCTAATGTGGGGGTTGGTAATTCTACTCCTGCCATGGACTTTCAGTCTATTTTGTCCCAGGCATTTGCCAGTATTTTTCAAGATGGATTGCATCAGCAATCACTCTTGGGCACCCTTCCAAGCACCTGGATCTATTCCAGCTGCACCCAAAGTACAACCATCCACCAGCTATTCTTACAAACAACCTGAGTATTTTGCTCAGGATGATGAATACCTTGACGAATTTGAACTTTCTGACGATGATGAGGAGTTTCAGGAGAAGCCTTCGATCCCGGGTCTTTTTAGGCCCACTCTATTTAAATCTCTTTTACATAAGGCAAAAGTGGCAACCAAAATGGGCAAAGCTCTTGACCCGGCTTCTTCTTCTCAAGATCAAGAGAATCCTAATGACTCCTTATTTAAATTACCACAAACTGACATTGACTTTGTTCCATGCCCTGATTTGTTCTCTCAAGTGATTTGAAAACCCTGGGAGAGACCAGGTTCTATTTCAGGCCCCTCGGGTCATCACAAGATGTACTGTGCTGCTCCAGAGCTTGATGCCTTATTGAACTTACCTGTAGTTGATGAGCCTGTTGCCAGTCTTGTCTCTCCATCTGTTTTGGCAGGCGATGTAGGAGATGGCCTGAAGGCGGAAGATAAGAGAACTGAACTGTCCTATAGGAAGACACACCAAGCAGCAGCCTGGGCCATCAGAGCTGCTACATCTGCCTCATTCTTTAATAGGGCGTCGCTTATCTGGCTTCGCCAGCTCCGAGACAGATTGCCTCCTGAAGAGGCCCATATTCACCAAGATGTCACCAAATTGATTGCTGCAGCTGAGTATTCTGCAGATGCCTCCTTGGATGCGGCCAAATTCGCATCCAGGGCCTTGGCTTCCACAGTGGTTTCTCGCCATCTTTTATGGCTCCGTCATTGGAGAGCCGACTTAAAGTCAAAGTGGAAACTTACCACTGCTCCTTATAAAGGATCTGCTCTTTTTGGTCAAACCTTGGAGCCGGCCTTGGTGGAAGGGCGCGATAAAAAGAAGGTTCTTTCTTCTTCTTACAGGCGTCAGGACTGTCGCTTTACACCTTACGCGAGGCAGCTCTTTCGTGCCGAGCCAGGACCCAGCGGGTATCAATTTCAAAGACCTTCCATACAAGGGCAGTACTTCTCTTCTGACCGATTGTCCTTTCGGGACAGAGGCAGACGCCAGACAGCCTTTAAGCGACCATTCCGGGGCTCCGGATTTCGCTCCTTTAGGCGTGGTAAGTGACTCACCGGCCTCTTTTCCCATAGGCGGTCGTCTTCAACAGTTCTACCATCAATGGGACACCACTTCTACAGACGCCTGGATTCTTCGCACCATCACAACTGGCTTGACTATAGAATTCATCTCCCCTCCTCTGAGTTGTTTTCTTCAGTGCCCCCTGTTGGCTTCCCTTCAAATGAGGCATCTCATGGAGCTAGAGATCCAACATATGTTGGATATACAGGCCATCGAGCCGGTTCTGGAAGATCAGGTACGAACCGGATTTTACTCAATAGTGTTTCTGGTTCCGAAGAGCTCGGGGGGATGGAGAGGGATTCTCAATTTAAAACAGCTAAACCAGTTTGTGTTGTACCGGCGCTTCAAGATGCATTCGCTCCGGTCCATTCTGGGATGTATCCGACGAGGGGACCTCCTACAATCCATCGATATCAAGGAGGCTTATCTTCACGTACTGATACATCCCAATTACAAGCGATTCCTCAGATTTGCTTACAACGAACGGCATTATCAATACAAGGCCATGCCGTTTGGACTGTTGTCGGTGCTGAGAACCTTTACAAAAATTCTAGTGGCTTTGGCAGCCTCGTTGAGGGAACGTTCCATCTGCATCGTCTGCTACCTGGACGACATCCTGCTGCTATCGACCTCTCTCTCACAAGCTCACCGCGACAGAGTGTGTGTTATTCAGACCCTACAAACTCACGGCTTTGTCCTCAATCTGGACAAGAGCCATCTTGTTCCAACAACGTCCATTCTACATCTTGGAGCGACTATAGACTCATTGCTAGGCCTTGTCTTTCTATCCCCGGACCGTCAGTCAAGTATCAAGGACATTGTGAACCAGGTGCTGTCACAAACTTCTGTACCACTTCTTCTGCTGTCCCAACTGTTGGGGAAGTTAATCTCATGTATACACATTGTACCATGGGCACGTCACCACTCACGTCACCTACAGTGGTTTCTCCTTCCCTTCCAGGTCAGTAAGAGTCGTCCACCAAATTCCGGGTTCCACGTCAAGTAAAGCAGTCTCTCCGTTGGTGGGTCTCTCCAGCCCTGTCATCTGGGACTCTGTTTTTCGAGCCTCACAGGGTCACGGTAACTACGGACACCAGTCTTTATGGCTGGGGCGCTCACTTGGACTCAACCTTCGCTCAGGGGACCTGGTCTCCCCTAGAACGACAACACAGCATCAACTGATTAGAGCTCCGGGCGGTGCGCCTAGCGTTGATAACTTTACATCCCTAATAAGGAACAAACATGTACTCATATTGACAGACAATATGACTACAAAGGCTCATCTCAATCGACAGGGGGGCATGAGGTCCAAAGAGTTGATGGCGGAGACAGACCTACTGATGTCGTGGGCAAAACAACATCTCCATTCCATAAAGGCGGAGCATATTTCAGGCAAGTCAAACCTCCAGGCAGACTATCTGAGCAGGGATCGCCTGGATCCATTGGAGTGGCGCCTGAGCCCTCAATTGTTCCAGGAAATAGCGAACAGATTCGGCATGCCAGTAGTCGACCTCTTTGCAACGTCTCAAAACACTCATCTTCCTCGGTATTTCACTCGTTTTCCGTCTCCAGGAGCAGAAGGACACGATGCCCTCAGGGCCCAGTGGCCAGAAGGTCTACTATATGCATTTCCCCCAATTCCAGTCATTCCGGGGGTGATCAGGAAACTGCTTCTGGAACACACAGATCTTCTCTTGGTGGCACCCTATTGGCCTCGGAGGGCGTGGTTCGCCGATTTTCAAGATCTTTTAGTAGGGATGCCATGGCGGATTCCTCTCAACCAACTGTCGCTGAGCCAGGGTGCCGTTCAACACCCAGATCCAGGTTGGCTCCGTTGACCGTCTGGCGCTTGAAAGGATAATGCTACGTAAAGACAACGTTCCTTCTGAGGTTATTGCTACTATTCAAGCTGCCAGGTGGCCATCTACAGTCCACATTTACAACGCGTCCTGGAAAATTTTTGCTCAATGGGCTGCTTCTAACCTTGTGGACCTTACCTCTGCTTCTGTCTCCGACATTCTTCATTTTTTTCACTCAGGGTTTGATGAAGGCCTTGCCCCGTCTACTTTACGCCAACAGGTGGCAGCTTTAGCCACTGTGTTGTCAGGGGATAGTCACCAGCAATTGTCTCATGATTGGAGAATTCGATCCTTTCTTCAAGGAGCTGCAAATCTTAGGCCGGCTGTGATCCACTGATATCCTACCTGGGATCTCCATTTGGTATTACAAGCTCTCACATTGCCACCATTTGAGCCTCTTGGGTCAACTTCATTACGTTATCTGTCGCTGAAAGTGGCCTTCCTATTGGCAGTGACTTCGGCTCATAGAGTGTCAGAGATAGCAGCCTTTTCCATTCAACCTGATCTCTGTGTTTTCTTTCCTGACCGCGCAGTCCTTAGACTGGATCCTGCTTTTATGCCTAAAATAAATTCCATTTTTCATCGACCTCAAGAGATCGTCCTGCCAAATTTCTGCCCAGATCCACGTCATCCACTTGAAAGGACATGGCATACATTGGACGTATGTAGGGCCCTGCGACGTTACATCCGACGTACATCATCATTTTGAAAAACTGAAGCCCTCTTGGTGTCGTTTTTGCCTTCTTCAATGGGTCAAAAAGTTTCTTCTGCTACTGTGGGGAGATGGCTCAAGGCCTGTATATCCAAAGCATGTGAAGTACAAGGGGCCCTTGTTCCTGAGGGCATTTTGCCTCACTCCACTAGGAGTACAGCTACATCTGCTGCATGGGCTACCCAAGCTTCGATTGATGAAATTTGCAAGGCGGCCACCTGGTCATCCCTTTCATCATTTGCATGTCATTATAGATTAGACTCATTTGCTTCTGCTGAAGCTTCCTTCGGCAGGCATGTATTACAATCAATAATTACCCCAACGGTTCAGGAGATGGCTGCGACTCCCTCCCAGGACTTGTAGCGTGGGCATGTCCCATTCTGTAGGATTGTCTGAGCAGCGTCAGGAAAATGGACATTGTCCTACCTTTTTATGCTCGCTGCGAAGACAATCCGGCCCACCCGTTCGCTAGCCATCCCCTGCCATAGGGGGTGTGTTTCCTTTCATTCCTCTGCAGGTGCTCGCCTTACGTGATGAAAACCGTTCCAGTCTGACTACATTGACAGCTTCGTGAAAAAGACTGACAGGAGCAACCAGAGGGCGGGACTAAGACTGCAGAGGAAAAATGATAGGCACTCAGTACATCCAATCACACTGCTAGATCCCATTCTGTAGGATTGTCTTCGCAGCGAGCATAAAAAGGACGTTCAGGTAGGACAACGTCCATTCCCCCATTGACTTTGTGTGTTAGAAGACAACTGAGAAGGTCGCAATCACATGACCCCAGGACACTGCAACCAACATAATTACATGGAGACCTGAATTTGGATCACATAATTACGTGGATGTTGTGACAATTAAAAGGAATGGTTGTAATTCACTGTTTTCAGTGCCATTGTAACATCAATTGGTGGCCAAATGAATGGTTGTAAGTCAAGGACTACCTGTAACAGTTCCACTTACCGAAGTGGCTTTCATGATGTCCCGCCAGAGGGGAGCATCATTGTCCTGCTCAGCAATCTCCAGCAGGTTGTCCAAGACTACTTGGCCAATCAGATCATGATGGGAGAAGCGGTCAAAATCATAGACACTAAAATGAAGCTTACGCTGAGATTTACATTACCACAACTTACATTAAATACCACAGCATTCAGACGATACGTTGTTAATATAGCTAAATCTGGATCTATTGTGTATAAAAAGTGTATAAAAAGATGCAGCAGATTTACAGATTTTACAGATGAAATCTTGAAAAAAAGCATACAAAAGCTTGATGGCACCTGCCGTAACGTGCCTTCCAAAAAGATAGCAGGTGCACTTTTATTCTTTAGAACCAAAATTGGATATACGCTTGATTTAATAATCTGCTTCAATGTGCCTGTAACTGTTTCAGTGTGAGATCTTTAATTAGTACTAACTTTTCACTTCTTAGAATATGGACAAGAAACACGAGACACTTGGAGAAAGCTCCATGAACTGTGATATGCTGGAGGTTCAGTTGAGGAGAACTGATTATATAGTTGGCAGATAATCATTTCTTCTTCCTTTGTTTATGAACCAGCAACATTGTTATATTACAGCTGTGTGCCTCCTATGCTACTGTGCTTTCTCTTTTTCCAAAGACCCACTAAAAACCTCTAACCCTAAGCATCTTGGAAGCTGAATGCAATGAACAAGTGAACAGCCTACTTATCCATATAGTATGTCTATGATTATATTCTGAAGCCAAAACTTATTTTTTAAAGGACTGCACCTGTTAGAATCCACCCAAAACTTTTCAAGCAGCACTGTGTTTCACAATACTATATAATAGTGTTTCACCACCTTGGCAACTTTAAGATGCCTGGAGTTCAACTCCCAGAAATCCCCAGCCAGGTGGCTGGGGGAGTTGGAGTCCAGGTATCTTGAAATTGCACAGGTTGAGAAAGACTGGTATAATGAATCAATTATGTATTTATGTGTGGGTCTCATGATGTCAGTGTTGCACTCAGGAGACCTAGACTATCATCTGGCAACTTGCATTATTTTCATTGTCTTCTACAACTTTAGTTGTAGAAGTTATTCTTGATATTTTGATTTTCAGAATGGGAATCTGGGCTAAGAGGTATTGATTGAAAAGCTCTTACCTTACTGATCAGGCAGTTTGTGCCCTCATGCTTATAATTTAAAAAGATGTGACATAAAAGAAAAAAATGGGGCAAGGAAAGAAAAACAAGAATACTCAGGCACCAATTATTAAAGTTAGACAAAGAGTATTGAATGTATGTCCTCCGTATAAACATCAACTGTACAGATTCAGCTTTAATACTTGGGCTCTCCCTCTGCATCCTTCCCTCCTCACAACTCACCTGGGAGTGGGTGCCAAGCTTGCTACTTGCTGGTGGGAGTGAGCATTGGGAATGCTGCCTTCCTTGGTACCGGTCTGACTTTCCACGGGGAGGTCAGGGGAGGTTTGGCATGGGTATGTGCAGCTAAAAAGGCATATCAGCTATCAGTATATATAGTCACTTGTTGGCCTTCATCTAATTAGCATGCTTCTATGAGAGTTATTAGTTCAGCTGCTTGTGCAGACATGTGTGAAGGGAGCCGTCTCTGAAGCAATGGTCCATCTTCTGTCACTACTGCTAATCCTGTATATCTTTTTCCATCTTTCACAAAGGATGAATCATCTGTCCAGAATGCCAGATTTCCATCTATCAATGGCTCAGTCTTTAGATCACATCTGGACCCTGTGATGCACTCTAAGATGAACACATCTAAGCAATTATGGGCTGTGTCTTCTTTGGGCCATGGCAAAAGGGTAGCAGGGTTTAAAAGTTGACATCTGGATAATTGAACATTTTCTTGCACTAATACAGTACTCACATATTGGGAAATCCTATTGGATGTTGCCCAAGCAGGCCCCCAAAAGAGTCTGAACTGCATGGGGTGTGAAAACATGGAGAGGGGCTCCAAGAATAATTTTCTGCGATTCTGCAATCAAGATAGCTGTAGCTGTGACTGCTTTTAAGCACGCAGGCCAGTGGTGAAATCTACAATTTGTTACTACCAGTTCTGTGGGCATGGCTTGGTGGGTGGGTAATGTGACTGGGTGGGCATTGCCAATTTTTTTTTTTTACTTTTAAAACCATTTTTTCTACAACCTCTTCAGCGAAGAGGTTATTAAAAAATGCTTTCAAAAAGCTCTGATGATCCCAGCTGAGTTGCCTGATCGGCAGAGACTTTTTTTCTTTTAAATGCTCTCTCTTCTCTGCTGATCAGGCAACTCAGCTTGGATTGTCAGAAGCATTTAAAAGAAAAAAAGGGTTTTTTTCTTTTAAAAGCCTTTGATGATCCCAGCTGAGCCACGCCATCATCAGAGGCTTTTTTTTTTTACTTTTAAAAGCATTTTTTTGGCTTTCGAAGAGGTTATAGAAAAAATGCTTTTAAAAGTAAAAAAAAAAGCCTCTGATGATTGTGCGTCTCAGCTGGGCAATGGGGGGGGGCAGGGATTTTTGCCGGTTCTCCGAACCACCCGCCTCCATCGCTACCTGATCTGGCGATCCGGTCTGAACCGGGAGCATTTCACCCCTGACGCAGGCCATCCTTTAACAACATTATCCAGGCCTTTTGACAAGTAGACCGGTTCTGGACTCACTTTTTGTAGCAAGACTCCCACAACCCAGTCTCTTTGTTCTGTAAGGTACAAATCAAATCCCTGGGACTGATCTGGTAGAGCCAAGCAAGCTGCTGTCAGTAAACTTTCCCTTAAGGTCTTTCAGGCTTGGGTATGTTCCCCTGTCCACTCCCAAGCTATATCCTTTTGGGTCAATTGGTACAATGGTTTGGCTATTATAGAATATAGGGGGATCCGAAGTCTGGCATATCCTGTAATACCCAAGAAGGACCTAAGTTGTTTCCCATTGGTTGGAATTGGCAGGGCCATCAGTGCTTGGAGTCTACTTTCATGTAAGCGTCGAGTTCCTTTGTCCAGCACATAACCTAAATAATTTACAGTTTGCTTAGTCCATTGGATTTTCTTTTGGGACACTGTGTATCCCTTTTTAGCCAGATGATTCAGTAACTCAATTGATTTCTCTTCCAACTGTTGTTCATTTTCAGCTGCCAATAACAAACCATCTACATATTGTAAAAGCATTGTGGGTGGGGCATCAAAGACTTTTAAATCCGCAGAAAGGGCAGCAGCAAAGGCTGTAGGGCTGTTTTTACACTGGGACCTTGGATTCCTTTGACTTCCAAGCATCTGCTCTGTTTGGCAGTTTCCATTCTCCCTGTAACACCACTATGGGGGCACTTTGAGTGGCTAGGCATGGCACAGTAGGGTCATTGAGAACATGACCTTACAGTAGGGTATAGATTGCCCTGGTGTTGACAAGAAAAGGTTGAAATCCCACCCACCCACCCCCCGCACCCCACTTGCAGCTTCACTAGAGGTTCCGGGATAAAAAATAATCCTCTGGAGCTCTGTCAGTATAGTTCTTCTTGTCTTCCCATCATCTGCTTCTGGGGAGGGCTTGGGGATGGCTGGGATCAAGGCCATTGCTGTTGGAATTGTCTATTGGGCTGAGGACTTTAGTGATGGAATGGACACTCATTCTTTCAATGTCCCATCTGTCTGCATTGGGCACATTGGTTTTTCTTCAAACTCCCAAAATGTTGGTTTGGAGAGGTTGTGACTGTAATGCCACTGCTAGAAGGGTGGCCTGCTTCTTCATCTTTTTAACTTCCTTTTCTTCCTCTTTTTCCTGTCATTGGGAGTAGACTGTGAAAGCTGTCTGAATCAGGAGTTCCAAATTTTGGGTAGTTGGGGCATCTAACCCAGTGGTGAAATCCAAATTTTTTTACTACCAGTTCTGTGGGCGTGGCTTGGTGGGCGTGGTGGGCACAGCAGGGGAAGAATCCACATTCCCTCCCCACTCCTGAGGGAAGGATATTGCAAAATCTCCATTCCCAACCACTCTGGGGCCAGCCAGAGGTGGTATTTTTCGGTTCTCCGAACTACTCAAAATTTCCGCTACCGGTTCTCAAGAACCTGATAGAACCTGCTGGATTTCACCGTTGATCTAACCTTTAGAGTTTCTTCCTGATATCTGGGGCACTTTGTCTCTGATAAGTCATTTTCAGAATTATTTCATTCTGTGGGGCATCTGAGTCTAGGTCTGTAAAGCACCGAAAGCCATCTTTCAAACGGATTAAAAAGTCAGTTGGGCTTTCTTTTCGCTCTTGCATAATTTGGTGCACCCAATGAAAATTTACAATTTTTGGTACTCCTTTCTTGAGACCCTGAATAATGGCTCCTTGAGCCTCCCTCAGAACTTCCATGCCTATAGGGTCACTGGCATTAATTTCAAAGGTTGGAGACAATAGATCTGCAACCTGAGGCCAGCGTCCTAATGGAGGATTGTTAATGGTTGCCCATTTGGCTTTATAATGTTTTTCTGCAGCCTCCAAAACTTGCCGCTTGTCTTCTGGCCCCAAGAAGGCAGCAAGCAAAGTATGCAGGTTGGGCACTGTTTCTGGATTATAGGGAGGTGGAAATTCTTTCTCTGGCTGATCTTCAAAAATCTCTTCCAGCACAGAAGAAGATTTTTCTTCTTCCAGCACCTTCTGAACAGAACAGACTTTGGATAGCAAAAGTTTGGCAGGTTTAAGATCACATTGTTTCAAGATATCTTGTCTTAGTGCCAAATTAAGGAAGAAACCCACATATAATTCTTCCTCTAATTTTCCTTGACCCTAACCCTTTTTGTATTTTGGACTGGGACCTGAATTCCCCCAGAATATTCAACAAACACGCTTCATCTGTCATTTCGGAAGTCAACAGCCGTTCCCCTCTCGGGGAAATGAAAACACAGATCATTCCTCCAGTCCCATTTTGGAGTAAACCTCTAACAGCAATTTCTCCGTCTCATTTTTCCATTCATGCAACACTCCCCACTCCCCCCTAATAAAATTATACTCACCACTATCACCATCAAGTTGTTCTTCCCTTTTCCCATCAGTGTCTCAATTAGCCAAGGTTTTCTTCTTCTCATAGCAGAGTCCCCAGTCCTTGGTGGGAACAAAGTCACCAGGGGCAAGGGCCCTGGGAGCACTCTTGACATTGAGATCTTCCAAGTCCAGTTTCTTCTGGGAGATAATAAGAAGGGTCTCTGTCTGTCCAAAGATGACGATGGCTCCTGGGGCTCAATGGGAGTCGCCCCAAGGGAACGTTGCTCTTGAGTTGTGACGCCCCATGTTTAGGCACCAGAAAAATATGTAAGGTTTTTGAGTGCAGCTCAGAATCTGATAAATCCAATGAAACTCTTATAATCAGATTTATTTTTCAGATCAGAAAGCAAAACTGGGCAACTTTTTATCTCCCACCTTAAACAGAGTAGGCAGAGAGAAAAGCAGGCATGCACCCTAACTAAAACTTTTTTCTTTTTCTAGTCTACACATATTGCCCCCATGGATTGTAATTGCTATAGAAACATTATTTCATATCCATGGTTCGTGCAAACTTCATGATTTTCTAAGTGCTCTGCAAACAAAGGACCTTAGAAGGGGAAAAGAATACATTTTCTGGCATATAGCCCAGAGCTTTGTTAAGGGGTGCTATCTCATATTAGTTTGATGAGAATACACATTTTAAGTTACAAGCAAGGCAATTTGGCAATTTGGAGGCTTTATCTTTGCAGTTGGCACATTAGGTTACAATGGAGCTTCTCTCAGTAGGGAATCAAAAGTTGAGATAGGTACACTCTATGCATGCTCTAATCCTTTCAGTTTCCCAGAGAGGGGAATGGCTGTTGACTTCCGAAGTGACAGATGAAGTGTGTTTGTTGAATATTCTGGGGGAATTCAGGTCCCAGTCCGATATACAAGGAGGGAAAGAACCTAGCCTCCTTTCCTTTCCGGAAACTCCTTTCCTTTCGGGAAACTCCTTAAGGACAATTGGAAATAGGCAAATTATAGGAATTGTTGGTCTGGCCACCTTAGGAAAAATGTGTACTCCTTTAGAATGTGTTTTTAGTAACTGGAAAGCATTGAAACCCCAGGTGAGTATTAAGATAAGCTTTAGTAAAAACAAGCTCCAAACCTTTTGCAACACCATCTGGCTCACATACATTCTTAGTCCACAATCCCTCCCATGGTCAAAAGAAGGTTCAGTGAATATAGAAGAGATTAAAGCCTTGACTGACTATCTCAATACTTAAGGAAAATTAGAGAAAAAATTATATGCGAATTTCTTCCTTAATTTGGCACTAAGACATCTTGAAACAATGTCATCTTAAACCTGCCATCCGAAGTCTGTTCTGTTCGGAAGGCGATGGAAGAAGAAAAATCTGTGCTGGAAGAGATTTTTGAAGATCAACAGGAGGAAGAATTTCTTTAATTTCTCTCCGCTGCTGCTCTTGCTTGGAGAATGTCTTTTGCAGCAGAGCAAGTCTCGGGCACTCAGGGAGACGCTCCACATGTTCTCCCGAGACAATGGCCCAACCCGGCTACTTCTCTCCGATTCAGCGGAGAGAAGTACCTTACCTTATTGTGGATGGGACAATAAGGTAAGAACCTTACCCAAACTGCTTCAGCCCACCTGCGCCCATGCTGCCCCCCCTCTTCCCCCCCTCGCTGCCACTCCCATGGCCCTTTGGCCGAACATGGCAGGTCGCAGGCCAGATAAATTGCTTCGGCCTGGGTGTAGTTTGAGGCCAGGGCAAGGTTCTCTAAGCGAGCATGGGCAGCGAGCATAGATTTCCTGGGGGGAATGCATTAAACAGCCCCAGGAGTGAGATGTAAGTAAAACAGCAACTTACC